GCGTGGCTGAGATTGCGGAAGCCAAACGTTTGCAGATGGACCAGTCATTGAAACTCTGGTCCAAAGCAACGCTGCAAGAACGCGCCCGGACATTGGAAAACCTGGATGTGCGGGACATGCGTGCCTCCTCGGAAAAGGACAAGGAACTCATCCTTGGCAAGATCCAAGACGTAGATGATTTCAATGCCAAGCTTCAAGTGCTCATTTTTGATCCAAAATCAGGCCTTGTTGCCACATGGAATGCCATGGACAGCCTGCAGCAGATTGGTGAAGTGGGCCGGCTCATTCGATGGGGCCTGGCAGATGCAGGCAGCGGAAAAGTGTGGAAAGCATGGGACGGCCACAACTGAATCCACTAAGCACAGCCCAGAAGAGGCATGTGCCAATCTCACTTTTGCGATCTGCCACCCGAAAGAGGCAGCAAATTCAGATTGGATAAAATAGATGCAGGACCAGCAAGAGTTTCATGATTCACCGGCGCAAAGTGTTTGCAGACATTCTTTTTGCAAACAACCAATTGCAGCACTTGGTTGAAAAAAAATGCGGGTTCAAACTTTCCAGGAGTCTCTGCGTTTGGCCGTTGAGCGGACGGAAGACATAGAACGCCTACTTGGGCGGAAGGGTCGAGGTGGGGTGGCAGCCTTGTGATGTTTCGCCTATTGATCTTCTTTTTTTTTGGTGGGATGGAGTTTCAGAGCTCTGAAAATAGACAATTTAAGTGGATAGGGCAAGTGTCCAATTTCAAACGAAGAATTCAAAGCCTGCAGCGCAGGGAAAGAGTGAAGCACTTCCACTTCAGACCGATTTATGGAACTCTCAGGTTGAAGTTTTTTTTTTCCTCTGCCTGCCTTCAGACAGCGACAGATGGGCCCTGCAGCGCAGGAGCAGTCTCAACGACCAGCTCAGTTGCTGGCTTTGGCGCTGAAATATCCCAACAGGATGTGTGTGTGTGTGTTTTTTTAAAGGACCTGGATGGTTTAGTACGTGCCAACATTATCTTGGATAAGAGGCAATAAGAGGTCTCCAATTTTTGCGGTCTCACCATACAGATGATGGCCGTGTCACAAGCTGAAGACTCGAATGGATCCGCATGGTTGGCAAAGGGATGATGTGATGCTCTTGGGATGTGATGCTCTTGGGATTGCCATGAACATTATGTGAATTACTATGGATTGGATTGGATTGGTACGTTGGGAGGTGACCAACTCGCCGAAAGATCCTCAAAGTGTCTAGTGACTGAATAGGATGTGAATCAGGATGGCAGGATGGCGGGCACAATGTGACATGAAACGTGGCAGTTCGCTGTGGTTTTTTCCTCGAACGCGTCAGTCACAGCGCGATAGTGCCCATAGTGGCCATTTTGTGGCCATCAGGATTTTGGAATCTGAAACATCAGAATGATCCTAAATGGTCTAGTTCACCTTGTATCATCTAGAAATCGACATGCAGCTTTGGTCTTATGGCTTGACTCTTCCACACCATTCCAACCGCCACTGGCAGGAGCTGGTAGAGATGGCCATTCAGACGATGACTGCGTGGCAAAGTTACAGGCGGGTGCACCAGTTGAGCCC